ATGGAAACAGGCTGTGTCTCAGGACTTATCTCTAGTAGAGAGTATGCCTATCCCAAAAATCTCTTCTCTTATTTCTTTTATATCTGTCTTGATTTTCCTACAAGTTTGGCTAGTTCCACAAAGCATCATTGGATATGTTTTAAGAAGTATTTTATACAACCTAGAGAAATATTTCTGTATCAATGGCTACCTCAGGATATCTGTTCTTACACAAACTTAACAATATTTTTGGGTTAAGACCATTCTATATTTTTAAATATAAGTATCAATGGATATATCTGCCATACTCTCATCTTATTATCTGAAGTCCTAGGGGTATTTTGTTTTGTTTTGAGACAGTGTCACGTCATCTAAATAGGCTGGCCTGGATTCATTGAATAGCCTGCTAGCCTCGAACATGCAATCCCTCTGTTTTATGTCCTAGGACTTAGTGTCCTAAAATCTTGAGATTATATGCACTTACCACTACTTGGGCTCTTTTAGGAAGTCTTAGGACTCTAATACATTTCCTTTCCCCAATGAGTAGGGTTGAAGATAGTAAGTTCATTTCTATAGGAGCTAGTACTGCAACTTTGTTGAAGGCTTATGTTTCCAGGGAAGCTCGGGACCTGAGATGCAGATTCAGGATATTGCTAACTTGAAGTTTGCTCTTATGTTGACTGCTATCTTTGAGGTTGCTGGAACAGATGAGCTGCATGGCTTGCTCTGTTGCACTGGTCCCTGCCTACAAGAACTAAAAAGAAAGTTGTTCATTTATACCTGAGTCTCCAATTTTGCTCATAGAAGACCACTTAAAATTATTATTGTTTTTTTATAATTTATTTTTTTCTCAAATCGTAATTCATTACACAGGGGTTATAAACACAGAAAGGCAGGATGTGTGAAAGGGAATGACACTGGAGTGTGGGTGTTCAGGGGGAATACAGATATCTTTCAGAACTGGGTATCGGCTGGGTGAAGGTTCAGGGGACAAGTCACTATGACTCTGCCTATGACTCGCTTGTCCTTATCTAAGTTGGTAATATCTGCCAAGGCTACCTATTACAAAGTCTATGACTACTCAGGCTTGTAAATTTCCACAAAAGCTGCCTGTTTACATTAGCTTATAGCCATCTGTTTTGATGTTTTTCCACTGAGACCCAAGACTTGGTGTTAGTATACATGTATGACAGGCCTATTGCTGATTTTAGGCCTATGGCTGATTTTAGGCCTACAGTGTCTAAGCAGGGCTGCCTCTGACATCTCCTCCCTTCTCTAAGTATAGAAGGGTTGTGGCAATTCTAATCTTGTGAAGGCAGGGATAGAGGCCTGACCTCTAGTACTTGAAGGGGACCTTGTAATGGCTCCAGTTCCCCTGTTGTTTTCCAATGAGGCATGAGGGCCATACCCATCCCGATGTCTTTTTCCTGGAGAGGGGATACTTTTGACATCAACCCCTATGCAGTTAGGCTTGTCCCTCAGGGAACCCAGATAGATATTTTTATCTTTTATTTATATTCCCTTGCAGTGCTTAGCCTCGCAGCTTAAGCAAGAATTCAGATCGCCTGTCAGAGGGGGTTCTGGGTGGCCCCTCTCTGCTTGGTCTAGGGGCAGAAGTCCCCCCTTTTAGTTTGGGTGGAGATGGGTTTTGGAAACACCCTGTATAAAGTAACAACCTCATCTTGAGTCCCGTGGTCCTCCATAGCTAACTTATGATAATGTATCTGAGTAGGTTTTCCTACCAAATTATTTATCTGTTGTATTACAGAGTTAGTCTGCCTATTTGAGGCCCAGGGACCAGCAGAAAAAAGCAAAAAGAACCCAAATAATGGTCCCAAGATGGGAGGAAGTAGGGTTGACAACCTTGGAGAGGCTGCAAACCAATTCCTGTACCAGCATTCATCTGTCTCTTTCTCTCTCTGATTTTTCTTAGGGCCTTCACTGACCTATTTCATGCTCTCTTTAACCCTCCTTGTCTTGTCTATGTAAAGGCAACATTCTTCTTTAAGGGCTGTACACAATCAAGAACTGTACACAGCCTTTTCTATTGTGATAAAGTAAATTGAGTCCCATAAGGATCTTTGTGATTTTAGGAGGTCTCTTCAGACAGTGAAATGAGGGATTTCTTCAGATTAGTGATGTTAATCTCTAGCTGTTTGATGTTCTTGTCAGTGGCCCTTCAAAGGTCTGAGTAGTATAATTTCAGAGGCCAGCTTCTGGATTAGAACTTCTAACAGCAGACATCACAGATGATTCATTTTTACCTGGGATGCTGCCTAAGTTAAAGCTCCTGGGAGGCCCTCTTTCTCCCAGTTTTCTGAGGTTGTGTACAGAGCTGCCGCCTGGGACCTGCTCTATGCTCGGGCCCAGAACGGAAGTCCACTTAAAATTATTTAATGGTATAAATATATGCATATCTGTATACCATGTGCTTGCTCAGTGACTGAGGAGGCCAGAATAGGGTGTTGAATGCTCTTGGGCTGGAGTTACAGATGGCTGTGAAGCTCTTAACCACAGAGCCATCTCTCCAATTCCCAGAAGACCACTTTTCTTTAGAGTTTTTTTTTTTTGAAGAATCCACACTTAAACCTGGCCGTTTATTTCCAGTTCCCAATGCTGCAAGGGTTTTCTGTGCTGACATTCATGGCATTAAAACCCTGTGGTAAATAAAACTAAGCGTAGGAGAAATTTTCTTCCCTCGGGAAAAGACCCCCTCCCATCCCCAAGTGGATTTTTCAATACAAGTGGTCAATATGAAAGCATACACACAAGTAACATCATACAGGCAACTGGGCTGATTGTTTTTATACATTTAAAGTGTGTGTGTGTGTGTATAAAAGAACAACTAAAGTAAACTAGGCCATGGGAGGGATTGTAGAGAGGAAAGAGAAGGGGAAATGATGTAATTATTTTATAATTTAAAAATATTGCATATGTACCTCCAGTTGGTATTTTAGCCATGTCACCATGGAGTAGCTGTTCAGTCTGCTATACTCATAGTTGAGTCCCCCTGAAATGTCCTTTGCATTCATACCCAGTTCTGAGTTAAAAGGGTGTTTGTTACATGTGTACAGAGTTTCCTAGAGTTTGTTGTGGGAGAACTTTTCAAGTTCTGCTTTGTTATCTGAATTGGAAGTTCCTTAATCTCTTATTTGTAGCTAAAGTAAAAACCCTGTATTTTGTAAATGGGCAAGGATATATGTGTTAAGGTTTTTAGTTTTCTTTCAAGTTCTTATACTAAGGCAGAAAACAAATCACGTTTTCTTGGAGAAATTATCTTTTAAACTGATAGTGAATGTGAGCACATTCAGTTTAGGAAAAAAATGACATAGAAAAACAGCAATATTTAATTAGCCGGGCGGTGGTGGCACACGCCTTTAGTCCCAGCACTTGGGAGGCAAAGGCAGGAAGATTTCTGAGTTTGCGGCCAGCCTGGTCTACAGAGTGAGTTCCAGGACAGCCAGGGCTACACAGAGAAACCCTGTCTCGAAAAACCAAAAAAGAAAAAAGAAAAGAAAACTTGAATTGAATTCTATGATTAAGCTTGTTTCTGCCTTTTCACTGCTAGAACTATGTCTGGAAAGCTTGGTAATGCTAGTTCAATGACACCATATAATGGAGGCCTGTTTCCTGCTATGGCTATTAAGTGACTCACCTCAGATATCCGCCCATGTCCTTTAGAGGCATCTTTTTCTGCCTTGAGTAATAGCTTGCTTCCTGCTTATCCTGCTTAGCTTGCATCAATTACACTGACATAGCCTGGCCTGTGAATTCTCCGTGGGAAAAAAAAAGAGAAAACAAAAAACACTGGTACAGAGCCAGCTCCCTTGTGCTCTTGGAGGGTGAGGGTTTCATCCTTGACTACCTTGGGAGTTTCAGGATCCCCAGATCCACCCTGGAGCTAGAGCCACTCTGGGGGCTCTGACTTCAGGAGCTCCTGCAGATGGCTGGGTCCAAGTCATCTTGTGGGTCTGTGAGTGCTTCCCATCAGGTCATAGATGTTCCTGCATCTTTATCTATTTACTATGTCATTGTACAACTTCTGTGTGGCCTCATGCCAGGGTGAAAAACCAAAAAGCCTTTTTGCAGTGGCCCAGTCGGGTAATTTCAAGGAGATCAGGGACTGTTCTCTTCACTTTCATTATCAAATTCAAGGAATGGGCAGTATTCAGCTCCGAGGCTGCCAGGAGATCACAGGAAGACTCATGAACTCAGTTGTGTCAGGTGATTAAGTCCTTTCTCCATGAGACAAATACCTTTGTGCCTCTGACATGTAAGGATGCTTTCAGTAAATCAACCTGTCTGATTTGAAGGAGGATGCTTTTAGGGAGTCTGAGGTCTGGATACTTCTGGAAGATACCCTTTCATTTTCTCTTTTTTTCTTGGAAAGTCATAACCTTTCAAATCTTCAGCATCCTGAGAGGCCCCTAGGTACCTATACTCATGCCATCCTTGGGAAAGAACTGTGCAAACTCTCCTGTGAACCCGGGCAGCAAGATGCAAAGGCCTGAGTTCCTCCTGAGAAGAGCAAAAAGGAAGCTACCCTTTCTTCAGGAGAAGGAAGCACAGAAGGTTATGGCTCAGCCTGGACTCTGCAGTCAGCCTGCCTGGGCTTCCCACGTCAGACCACACTTTGGTTCCTTTCAAACAGCCAGCACATGGTAGCCCCTCAGAGAGAATGTGGACAGAACTTGTACCAGTATCATCCACTGAGATCTTGGCCCTGCTTTATGGCAGATGCATTTAACCTTGGTGTCTTCCTTTAGGAAAGAATGTACTTGACAGTTCTTGATCAGGGGCATTTCTGCAAATCCTTCAGCTAAGCCTTGCTTTTAAATCTAACAATAAGACCAATGGAACCCAGAAGTTGAGAAATTTGGGGCTAGAGGCAAAACAACACTTTTCTGCTTCATCATTGAAAATGTACTCCCTTCTCTGGTAGAAACAGTGACTATCTCTTCTCCTCTTCCTGACCTTGCTGTCTGTCCTCAAGGGTAACCCAGGAAGAAAGTAATACTCACAGGATTTCAGATGAGGGCCTCTCTATGCCTTGACCTTTGCTCCCTGCTTGTTGACAGTTGATGACTTCACTGTCTTTAAACTGTTCTTCCAGAATAGCAATTGAATTCTGCCAGATGCATGCCACCTGCAGAGGAAGCCTGTGGGCAGCTTCTACATTAATCCTGTTCTTTCCTCCCCTAGATATAGGAGCCTGCTTAGGGCGGGCCATAGATCAGGCTACATTGGCACCAGTATTGCCGAGCAATGCAGAGGTAAAGAAAGAAATGAGGCTATGCCTGCCTTTATATGAATACCACTGGACTCCCTGAGTGTTCTCATGCCCTTGGAGCCAGAGTTCTGTTCCTTTGTTAGGCAGTGAGTCAGATATTAGCAGGCATGGAGGCCCTTGAAAATGAACTAATTAGCTATGGGCTCCAGCTTCTTGTCCTGGTAAAACACAAACTGTAAGAAAGGAAAATATCACAATTGTCCTCTTAGGATTTGAAATACTATATGAAAGAAGCAGGGAAACATCCTCCACACATTTTAAATACTGAATGAAAGGAAGGCATGCAGAGATAGCAGGGCTCTGCACTATTACATGATATTTTTTTAATCAAAAGTTTTATATCTGAGTTGTCTTGTGTCATGACACTTAGAAGCCACACCTACTGAATCTTTACAAGGCTAATTAACTGCTTAGGATTTCAGTGATGACGGTGAGGATGGAATATTGGAGGTTATTGGGCCCCTTAGATAGTCATTCCTTGCCGACCTATGTGTTATACTTATATCCTGTGAGTAAGAATTAAAACCTTTTAAGATGTATTAATGTAACAAAACACGCAATTTCCACGAACCAAATTGTCAAGAATTCTATGACACAGCATCTCAGGTCTACAGCACAGGATTCCTCCCTTTGTGTAGCATCTAACTAAAGTTTCCATTTACATTTTTGAAAAGTACATTGATTTACAACTTTGTTTTTTCTGTCACATAAAACTTTTATTAAACTCTGCTTCCTTGGAACATATAACTCAAGATAGCCCGAATCTGTGTTCCAGGACCACGGCCCCTCTTATTTTACTAGAGAATAAATTATTATTTATTTTTTTGGGTGGGGTAAAAATTGTGTTTGAAAAATTATAAAATTGTAGACGTACCACTCTCCCCCTTTGAAAGAATTAATTTAAAAAACCTGGTTAATCACCTAGATAGAGACATCCCTCAAAGATTTATAACTTCAAGAAATATGATACAGCTAAAATCATGAGGATGATATAATGTGCTGTCACTTTAGTGAGATATGCACGTACACACCTTGGAAGTCCTTCCTCAGGTGTAGTTGCTTACAGATTATTGCAGACAGTGCCATCAGAGGTCCTGTGTAGCTTATTTTCTAAACCCATTGTTTTTATTTGCATCATGTAGGCTATACCTACATTTATACTAGTACTACATTGATGTTCCAGTTTCAGTTTAAATCACATAAAAACTTTAAAAATTAGATTTTCTATGTTGATTTTACTGATTTTTATTGTAATTACAATTCAAAGACTTGTCCAATGAAATAAGCTGTCTTAGGGTTTCATTGCTGTGAAAAGACAACATGACCAAGGCAACTCTTATTATGGACATTTAATTGGGATTTGCTTACAGGTTCAGAGGTTCAGTACATTATATCATTATGGTGGGAAGCATGGCAGCATCCAGGCTGGCATGGCACTGGAGGGGCTGAGAGTCTACCTCTTGTTCCGAAGGAAGCTAGAGTAAGACTGATTTCCAGGTGGCTAGGAAGAGGGTCCCAACACCCATCCCCAGGGTACCATACTTCTTCCATCAAGGCCACACCCATTTCAACAATAATAATAGTAATGCCACTCCCTTGGCCAAGCAGATTCAAACTACTATATAAGCTAAATGATAACCCCATAATATTCACTAAAGCCTGATCTACACTGAGCCAGATTTGTGGGTACTTTATTATCTTACTATAATTTAAAAGTTTGTACCAAAGTCTGCCTACTATGTTTCTTAATTTTTAAAGTAAGAAAATTTTCAAGTAAGGGCATGAGAACTTCAAAACCCCACTTGGAGTTGGGCAGCTGGCTCAGAGTCAGAAATCAAACATTTGAGGCTCGAAGTTTCTTAGCCACTACTGTTGTCTCTGTAATACTATTACAGATCTACATATCTCTATATTTTATGTTGAATATATAAAATCGAGATCCTCGATCCATTGGGTAAAACAAAATTAGGCTAGATGAAATAGTTATTTAAATGAGCCATATTTCAAAATTTTACATGCTAAACTAATAATCTTAGGAAACTACTAAGTTATATTCAAACATTTTTGAAAGTCAAATAAATACCTTCTAAAAATATTTGTTTACAGCATCAAAACTTTGAATATGTGTGTCTGATCTCAACTAACTCCAAGATTGTAATTATCCTGGGGTGAGAGTTGAAAAAAATGCTACACTTTCTTTTTATTAGCCATTTCTTTTTTTAAATTTATTTATTTTTTTTCTCAAATCATAATTAATTCACACAGGGGTTATAAACACAGAAAGGCAGGATGTGGGGAAGGGAATGACACTGGAGTGTGGGTGTTCAGGGGGAGTACAGATATCTTCAGAACCGGGTATAGGCTAGGTGAAGGTTCAGGGGACAATTCACTATGACTCTGCCTATGACTCGCTTGTCCTTATCTAAGTTGGTATTGTCTGCCAAGGCTACCTGTTTACAAGGTCTGTGACTACTCAGGCTTATACATTTCCACAAAAGCTGCCTGTTGACATTAGCTTATAGCCATCTGTTTCAATGTTTTTCCACAGAGACCCAAGACTTGGTGTTAGTATACATGTATGACAGGCCTATTGCTGATTTTAGGCCTATGGCTGATTTTAGACCTACAGTGTGTAAGCAGGGCTGCCCCTGACATCTCCTTCCTTCTCTAAGTATAGAAGGGCTGTGGCAATTCTAAACTTGCAAAGACTGGGATAGAGGCCTGACCTCCAGTATTTGAAGGGGACCTTGTAATGTTTATTAGCCATTTCTTCAGACTGTTCTGGATGTTCGTTGACACTGTTAATATGAATGAGCACTTGATATTACAAAATGTGATTTAAGAGATGCCTTATTTGTGAGTTCTACTGTTCATGAACAAATGCCTCAGAACTTCTTACTGGACTTACCAAGAGGGAGTAGAATGAATTCTGAGAAGGAAAAGCCCAGAGTAGGCTAGAGTCCTATTCTCATCTGGACACATTTGAAAAGAATGTGCAGCTTGTGAGGTCTGTGAAGTAGAGAGAATGGCTGAAGTAGAAACTTCTAGTTTCTTTGGAATATCAGTTATGTCAAATGATATTTTGCTGGGGCACACAGATGAAAGTATGTTTTGCTAAGGCAGACACATGGAAGAATGTTGTCCTGAAGCAGACACAGGTGAAAGCATGTTTTGCTATAAGAGACATGTAAAAAAGGACGTGTGATGAAAGAGTATCAATATGACCCCACAGATAATGGGAACTGGAACATTGATTTGATTTTTTTCTGCCTCATTATTCGTTGCTAATGACACACATGTATTGGTTTGCTTACATAGCATTGTTGAGCTCCACTTGTGGTAACACTGCCATTGAGAGAAACTAGCCAAAGTTCCTGAGGCTTCTTGCTGTTTCAGTGGCCTCAGGCCAGTTGGTGAGTCCTACGGTTTCTTCAGTATTGAACTACAGCTGTTAGTTTGCTTGTGGCGGTCTACCTGGTGAGAGGAATGAACTGCAGCTGCTGAATTGTTTTTGGCGTTTGCTATATGAGAAAGAAGATTGAGCTTGTCCCCAAAGAACTGTTTTTAAACAGGTCTACTTCCCCCATATCCTAATAACTTTTTCTCTTCCACTAACTCCAGTGGGTGGTAGGGAAGAAGAGAGATTGAACCCTTATTAGAGTAGGTTGTAAAAAATTATGCCTAAAAAAATAAAAAAAATTATGCCTACAGATGGTAATTATTCATAGTACAGGGCAATTCAGTTTTAGACAAATGCCATAGACATGTGATCTTCATAACAGCTTCCTATCCATATGATCTCCATATATCAATGTATGTAATGATGAATGAGTACATTGTATGTGCTAGCCATGGTATGAGCATTGATGTCATGATGAGAAGCTTCTACTCCAATGCAAAGACACAGTAACAGTACATAAGATTGTAGTAGGTGCTATGCTGTTCAAAGAAAATAGGGAGAGTTGGTGAGTAATGGGAATGCTGGGTTGATGGTTAAGAAGTCAGAGAAACTCTCCGAGACTTGAGATGCCATGATGGTGAATGCTGTGGCAAAGGGTGTGCAGGCAGAAGGAGCAGTAGATTCTAAACCCCAGGACTGGAGCCTAAGCTGGGTTCACAGGAAACCTGAATGTGGGCAGTCATAAGGGGCTCATGGCACAGGATGAGCTTAGATGGGCGAGTCTGGGAAATTTGGAGATAATTTGGGGTTTGTTCTAAATCAAAAGGATTTCATTGAAAACTTTAGATTCTATGCTTGAAATCAGTGCTTTGCTTTCTACTGAACAAAGAGTACTAAGCAAAGAGAGTCATTTATAAGAGGCAGAAATGCAATGGTGAGATCAGCTCAGAAACTCTTCTGTAGTCAAATAATTGCTTAGCAGCATTTTCTAAATTATCAGTGCTCAGAAGACATTTGCTACATAGACGAGTTCTGCATTTAATGTTTTGGCAAGGACTATGGGAACATGTGCAATGACTAATATTATTTAACATTATTACAGATTGGTGTTGTCCATCAACAAGAATAAATCTCAGATCACATCTGCCTAGCCTGTTGACTTCTTTTCAGTGGAAACACCTGTTGAGGTGGATTGTCTTACTTCTTGGACACCTGCAGAGATTACTTGCTTCTCTCATGATGGGAAATGTTTCCAAAGTAAGCGAGACTCTGAGGCTCTGTTGTTTGGGGACTAATAGGATTTCTTCCAAGTGTGATGCTAAGCTGTCTCGTGTGCAGCCACAAGAGGATTAAGGAATTGTTTACCAGCTCATAACGAGGTAGAACAGGATCAGAGCTTGTGATAAATGGGCATAAGGAAGAAAGCTAGGTATAATCTCTC